GATACATCGGATATGAGTTATCTGTCTGCACCGTCTTGTCGTTGAATTGCTGAGGATATCTAAAACGACATTTTCTCGGCTCACCTTCCATACAAGGGCTAGGCGGTCGTAAATGGCCGCAAAGACCATGCATCATGTGCTTTATCACCAGCTCGTGCATTTCAGGATACTTTGTCGGGTCCGGGATTTCAGCACAAACTATCTTGTCATAATGGTCTGGGTTTGTAATCTTGTGTTCCGGTTTCATTATCATGAGGATATGTGCATGTGGCAAACCACGTTTTTGAAACTCGATGACATAAACATATGCCCCAACCTCGCTGAGGATGTGCTTCTTGAAGAGTTGATTTTTAAGATCCTCTAATTTGGCACGAAAAACTCTTGCAACAAGGTCCGGCCTATCTTGCGCGGTTTGACCAGGCAATAACTCTTTAAGGATTTCAGGCCACTTCGGATTACACGTCATGGTAAGGAATATATCGGGCTTCCCATCATCTTGAACTAAAGTCATAACATCCATAAATATTCTTCGCATATCACGTGGACCTCCGATAAAACTTGCAGGAAGCACAACCCGTTGTCTAATTCTACTTGGTTGAACCTCACCGGCATTGACGCAATCCACAACACCTTGATATAAGTCTGATCTTATCTTTGTTTGATTCCTTTCAATAAAAGACAAACGTGTAGTCTCTATCTTGATGTACATATCTACCACGAACTGTTGAAATAATCTTCCGCCTAATAGAATGACGTTATTACTCGACCGAATCTGGAACTTGTAACAATAATAATCTCGCATTGTTACAGTTTTCCTACCCCTTCCTGAGCTAACCTTTGCATAGTATCGAATTTGAATCATATAGATTAATAAATGAGTGAATAAGGTAATAAATATATGTGACAATGTTCATACCTTCATGATCCTCATCGAAGATTTCGTTGTCATTAACAATTTCATCAATGCACACCCCATGTCTGGGTATTCTAGCATGCCATCCAGACTCACCGTTGGGAAAAAAACAAAGGATAAGACAAATGATCATAGCAACCATAGTAATGTTCAATTTTTTTACTGTAGTCAGACCTTCCATACACAACAATACTTCTCTTGTATGCAGTGATATTGTCATTGCCTTCCACCCAAATACCAACAACCTGTAGAATGTTAGAATTTGCTTCAATATCATGCATATGATACATTTATTATAAATGAGATAAAATAAGTACTTGTATTTCAACCTCAGATGTGGTTGGTCGGTTGTACACCCTCTGGTCAAGTTCCACAGAAGCATTCAAAGTGACTCTATAATTATCGAGTGGTCCTAGCTCAGCAAGGCTTCGAAATGTTCTCACATATGGGTTTATAGAAAGAACACGAGTCAACATTTCAATGACGTTTCTATCAAGATTTGGCCATTGTAGTCTATGCGAAAGCTCAGATTCGGCATCATAAAAATAAAGTTGTAAGTACCAAGGATGTCCATCCCTCGGAACTAACTGATCGATTCTATGATATATTCCCCCTTGAGCACGAAACGTATATACTCCAGATGTCATATTGCTCGCTGTACTATCCAAAGTTACCCCCATTGACGTGAAGGAAAAGTTTGTGTTGTATGCACGAATATTGTGCCTAAACATTTCGCCTAACTTTGATTGTGTTGTAAATAAATTGTATAATTCTTCTGGAATGGGTGAGTATGCCAACTTTGTCTTCCCACTCATGCAACAAAAGGAAGGGAATTCAAAGTCGAACCGCTTTGCTCCACAATGTTCACATGCATTTTGTTCCTTCAACACACGATGTTGTTTAGGGACACCATCATAAACAAAATTGTATGGATCCTCCTGTTGGATCTCAACATTTCTATTATTTTCCTTGTTTCGTTGATAATAGTTTCGGTTAGTAATTCTTCTCCTTTGAACGCCTAAGAAAGATATTTGGATACGACAAATAAATATTATTATTATAAAGAACTACGAAAGTCGAGTTAAAAAAGATCGAGTTTGAAAAAATATATTAACTCATCGATTCTTGATTAACAGCTTCGTCAAAAAGAGGTAGCAATCTTCCATGCCTATTTATAATGCCTATGGAAAAAAAACATGTCAATGAGTCTAAAGTTTATATGAACACTAAAGTTTCTAAAGTGTGGATAACCGGATGGTATTTACCATTGACATTTCGTTCATAATAGTTTCGATTAACAATTCTTCTCCTTTGTGCAAAAGTTAGTGTGCTGG